CTCAACCTGATGCGTCAAATAACATGCCATTTGCAAATATGGGAAACTTGTATTAAAGAATAATTTCAAAATTAATGTCAAATTTACAGTTTTAAGAGAGCACTTTGGGTTTTGGAGCTGGTTGCAGACTATTGATTGTTTTTATTGAAAGTAAATACACAAGGATATTTCAATGTTACTATCAAATTATACATAATTTTACAGATGCAGTCTAGTGTTACTGTGTGTGTTTGTGTTATCATAGCTTACGTGTTAACAAAAAATCTGTAAGGAAAAAGTTTGATTTTTTTTTCTTTGTTTTCTTTTACAAAAAATGATTCTATGCTTAAAGCAGAAGATTTGACTTTTTGAAATAGGAGGTCTAATTGTGCTTTGCCACATTTGTCTGTATGGCTTTTGGCAAGTTAATTAACTTGTAAGTTCATTTATTTTCCTGTAGCATTAATACTTCCTGTGTCAAGCCACATGCTTAAGCAAAAGGTGAATGAATAGTTAACATTCTATGTTTTAAAACAACATTGCCGACACTTTTGAAAGTGGGAAGAATTGAGAAAACAAAACAGATTGCAAGAGCAGAAGAACTGTTGGGACTTTTGGGGGGGTGTTTTTGTTTGAGTTTTTTAGATCATGGTCTTATGATCAAAGACAGTTGTGCCAACGCACGTTTTGAAGGCTGAGATCTTTGATTTTTAGAGGGCCTTTTTTAGAGCACGTGTATCCTTTCAGATGGGTGAGGAAGAGTGGTCAGTTTGGAGCCTGTCACCTCTTTACAGTGTGTGTGTGTCTCTTGCTCTCTCCCTCTCTAATTCGATTTGGAAAACCTGTTTGAATTCAAGTATAAACGTAAGTGAGAATTCTTTGTCTCAACGTGCTTTCAGGATGAGCTTTTTATTTTATTTTCTGGGGGCAGTCCATTCAGAGTTCTTTATTCTTTCCTTTACACATATAGTAGTTTTTCTTAGAGGGTAGTGATAAAGTACATTAGTGTACTTCAAAATAAATTATTGTATCCTCAGAACACAGTATACCAGCAATGATATCTATTCTATTAGGAAATTCGTGGAGGCTAAGAAGAATCGGAAGGACTAAAATGTGAGCCTAAAAATTAAGTAGTCTTGGTTAAACAGAATAGAAGAAAATGCTTTAGCCATTTTTTATAGAAAGAAAAAGACAGGAAACTAAAATGTGCAATTTAATTAATAGGAAATTACTATTTCAAAATTTATGAGGCAAAAGCTGTTTTCACTAAAATTGACGTTATCTTTTTGTGTGTTAGAATCAGGTGCTGTTTTCACATTTGGAAAAAGCAAATTTGCAGAAGATATTCCTAGCAAGTTCTGGTTCAAAAATGACAAGCCTGTACTTATATCATGTGGAGATGAACATACCGCTATTGTTACAGGTGAGTATTGGAAATTGAGTATATTATAAAAGGTTATATATTTGGACAGCCTGGAAAGTTATTGTTCTTATTTGAATCCTGAGGTAATATATCAAGTGAGGTTGTGGAGAGAAGAGAGGACTGTTCTGTGGGAACTATCAGATGCCTTTGAAGTTAGTATGAGGTCACTGAAGGTTTTCACAAGGCATGCCCAAGAACTGTCATGAGGGAATCTGTAATAACTGAATGTATCACACAGGATTTAAAGTAAGCATGACTTTATTCAGCTTGAATGTTTCTTGTGAGTCTGACAGTGTTTAGTAGGCAATCTTAAATACAGGGGTTTGTATCATGGAAGTAAATGGTATCTGTTGAACACAGTCAAGAAGTACAACAGATAAAATTGTGTCTCTGAAATGAAGATTTGAATTACTGTTAACTGTCAACTGAAAATAACCGTTGAAAGAGCACCTCAAAAAACTTCAGAAAATTCCACTAAAATCAGAAATAAATTGCAAAAGCATTCAAAGAAGCTCAGATACAATACAATGAGCAGTATTAATGTTTATTTTCAGTTCTTTGAAATGATGGAAACAATACTCATTGAAGAATTTGTTCAACTTACTTTACGTGGAAGGGACTACTCTTTTGTTGATGAGCCCATGTGTCAATTGTATTGAAAATCAACTGCTGATAGATAATAAGACTTTGTTGTTATGAAATTTATATGCGTATTTTCAGGACTTTTTTTATTGGAATGTATTTATGCTTCATCAATGCCCAGCTGGTCATTGCTCATTAAATAATTTCTTGAGGATTTCTTGCTATGTCCCCACACAAAGTTGCAGATGCTGGATTTCTAGAATGAACTATTCCAGGCATGATAAAAAAAGAGTATATATTTCATGGACTGCAGAACATCTTGAGGTGAAATTATACAATTAATTTTTCAAGCCTGACTTCATAGAAGATGAATTATCCATGAATAGTTTATTTTGAACAAAACTTGACTTTTTTTCTTGAATTGAACCAGTTCCATTAAATTGCTTGTTGCATAAAATTAATCGGAATGTAATCTGGAGCACAGTGAAATTTTCCTTATGAAATTTTTTTTTTATATATATTGTTTTATATGCCCACACCCAGTTTGAAATAACACTAGTATAATTCTCAGTTTAGACTAGTCAATTTAAATTGCCTCCTTGATTTCCCCCAGCATGTGTCTGTGCCAGCAGTGTTACCCTAATCAGCAACAATCCCCTAATTCCCATGTCACTGTAATAGTGGCCATTTAGGTAAAGCTTTTGAAGAAGTCAACTTGCATAGGTTTGTATACAGCACCGTTTCTCTGCTATCTCCCCTTCTGCCTGTAATTTTAATACATGCTGCGTGTTTCGAAAAAGACTGTCTCTGTAGCTGGCCTTTGCTGTTGTGGTATGCAAATACATCACCAGGGAAACTTCTAGATAATCAGATCTTTATTGTCTCAAAGCTTTTGAGGAGAAGGAACTGTAGAAACAGGAGTACAAAATTTCTTTCGTACCAAAAGGTTTTTTGGGACATTGTAAAGTAGAGGCAAAAGTGAGAGTAAAATATTGATCAACAACGAGCAAAAGGTAGAGAAACTGCAAGAGTCATACAAAAAAAGTGAAGGGAAACAGAAAACCTTTGTCCCTCATTTGTTCTTCACACCTGTGCATGCCCATATGCGCCTCGCATTTCTGCTGTTAGATGGAGTTGGATGATACAGTGGAATTACAGCCCTTGGTGAATGACATTGAACTGCAGTAACACCTGGAATAAAAGCTCCAGAAGTGCATGCCGATAGTGAGTTTACTGAGAAGGGTACAGACCTTGTGGGAAACCAGGAACTTCTTGAAATCCAGCTGAACTTGGCCTGGAAGAGATAAAAGACAAACATCACCGAGGAAGGAAAAATACCTCAAGCAGGTGTGTGTTAATGCATGCTTCATTTTATTTTCATTCTTTATTTACAGGTCACAAAATTTCCCCTTCCTTTTTTTTCCACCCCGTGGAAGAGGCAGTGGGACCTGTGTATGTAGGGGACAGTGGGTATATGAAGTAGATTCAAATCTAGTAGAAATATATCAATTTTACACTAACATGTCTTAACAATCATAAGTAAAACAATCACCAAAACTGATACAAAACATTCCTTAAAGCTGGTTGTGGGCAGGAGAGACAGCAACATCTAGCACTGAATCTTTACTGAATGCAAAGGAAGAAAATGTAGAGGAACTAATATTTGGCATTCAAACAAAATACTTAGAAATTTTCAAATACATCTTTCATCTAATCCAGCGTCAATATTCCCACATGACTTTTAGGAAGAAAAGTGTGAAGTAAATATAAAACACTCTGTTCTTTGGCTTTCTAGGTCAGGAGTTAGAGTCCAAAATGTTATTTACATTCTGCGGCTGATGTTGGAAAAGAAAGTAATAGTTACTTCCTGACTTGAGTTGGCTTGCTAAGCTAGTCAGAGAAACGTTTCCTTCTCCAGTTTTGGAGTTTGGGATTGAAATTTGTTTTTCTTTATTCATTTGCTCTCTACCTTTAGCACAATCTTCATTAAAATGTTCAAGCAGGATTTGTTTAAGCAGTTGTCTTCATTAGTTCTTTAATGCAGTCATGAGCAGTATATCTTCCAGCATCACTTGTAATATGTTTAATAATGTTTCTTGCCCCATTTCTATATTTTTTGGCCCAAGAATACTGACAGCCCACTCCTTACATCTTCTGTAACTGCAGGCTCTGGAAAGCAATTTATTCATCCTGTTGGGAGCTGCTGTGAAGTAAGTGATACTACGCATATTTTTGAGAATCTTCTCCCAATACCTTTCTATTAATTTTCTTTTCTACAAAACTCTTAAAGTTAACAGCTGTCGTATTGTTTATTTGCCTTGATTAGAGTATCCTAGGCAGCTTGCCCACATTTGATCAAAGAACTGATCCTGTTCACAAGGGCGAAAATGGTGATGATGGAAGACACATTTTCCGAACTCAGAGCTCTGGAAAGAATTGAAGTCTCCAATGCAAGAGAGTAGAAGAAAAGAAAGAAGTAACAAGTGTAAAAGTAGGAGTGAAAAGAAGTGCATGTGGAACCACAACAAGATAGTATGCTCATAATTTTCAGTTTTGTAAGGCATTAAACATTCAACAATTTACACCAAAGAGACCTTGGAATCTCTCCAGGTCTTTGGGCACCAGACTCCTTCTATTGTTTCTGCCTACCAGCAGGCCATCAGAACATGGCACAATATCTTTTGCATCAACTGTAAGGGGAAAATGAGAAGGACTAGTACATGTTTGTGTTGATCTTTGGTACGTGTAGAAGCCAGCAACATACTGTGCCGTTTTTGTTTGTGTGATGCTAAGTGTCCTAAGCATGACTGTTCTCAAAATAAAAGTTGAGAATATTGCATTTGAGAATATAGTGACTTGCCTAAAAAAACTGATGTCATTCCCATTTTGGTGAGATGTATTTGAATTGTATACAAATTTTAAATGAACCGTTAACATAGTTTATTCACAAAACAGCACAAATAAATTAAAAAAAACCATGGTGCCTGGCATATGATACTGTGTCCAAAGTACTACCTTTTACGTTTTCTTCAGATGTAACTTCTCAATAGAGTCTTGTAATAAATGCTCAAAGTCCATACATTGTCTCCCCATTTTATTTCCCTAGATTATATAATTTAGAAAGCAAGGGGGGGAATATGTAAAACATACCTTTAAACATAGAGGATAGGAATACTTGCCTGCCTGCTATTATCATGAAGTATGTTGAGGATTTCAGCTGGTATTTCCCAGCTGCTGAATGAATGCTGTTAGTAGTGCTTCATGAACCAAGGGAACACATGACAGAGTTCCCAGGAATCACAGTTGTGATAGCAGCTATTCATATGAGAAATGTACTGGTTAGGAGACACTCTCGTCTTGAAGTCTCTCACAAAACCTCTATTCCTAAAGATGTAAGCATCTTTTGGCTTCCCTAACGGCCCTGAATTAATGTTGGTGAAACACCTGCTGTTGGTAAGCCAATGCATACATACTTTGGAGAAATACTCCAGTCCTGCCTCAGGATGGAGGTAGAGATTGGTGTTGGAAATCTGTTTTAATCTCCAAAACCATCTGAGTAGTCCATTTCTTTATATCCCGTTGTTTCCCTTCTGCTGCACAGTCATAATCTTACTCTGCCAGACCTGTCTTCTGCCAGCCATTCCAGATGGCAGAGGGCCACAATCTCTGTATCAGCACCAAAGTGGAAGCAAAAACCCAAGAACAATCTGAGTTTGCAGAGTTTTGAAATATGATCCTTGCCTATTTGTCTGCTGTTGAATTAGTTCTCACTTCAATGTATCTGTGGTGATAGCTGGAGATATCTCAGTGATGATGGCTGTTTCAAAATGTCTTCAAATCTTTTTTTCAAAATGTCCTCAATATCTTTTCTTACATCTTCAGATAAAACAGACATTATCTCAGATATCTCCAATTATGAAAATAGGGCCTTTTGCATACATAATTGTCATGTTTCCTGGCCGGCTTACATTGCATCATGTTTGTTCCAAAACCTGATTTGCTGTACAGACCTCTAAATGTTGCTTCATTACAGCCATTTGTTTAGGTTCATCTGTAGTGCCTATTAGCTTTCATTCACTGAATTACCTGCTTCCCAGTTTTCTTACTTTCTGTTACATTGCTAAGTGTTGGAAGCCTGAAATTATAAAAGGCTGTCACTCAGTTGTAAAAGAAAGTAAAAAAATTCCTCTCATCTATTAAGCTCCTTGACTTATAAAGCAATGCCTTAGAATTTAAAGACTGGTATAAGAAACAGCAGATTACAGGATGAAAAGCTTGGCCTGTTGGAATTTTGAATGGATAAAAGAGAATGTGCTTAAATTGAATTACGGCAGCTTGGCATCATATTCTCACAGGAGTACTGCTGGCTTATAAAGGCAGTTAAAAAGTATAAAGCAAGGACACAAGGAAGCATATACCAATATAGGATGCCATTTGCTAATAAAAATTCTTTCTGTTAAGGTGTGTTTTGCTTTCAATGATAGAGCTGTGCATGCGTTTTGATGTGATTGTATTATCAAAATCGGGATGGTGATATAAATGCTATTAGTAAAACACCGTGAGCATACATTTGACCTCAGACTTTCTTCCCCTTTCCCTTCCAACTTCCTTGGAAAGGCATAATATTGACACATAGCCCCATGTTCCAAAAACTGTCAAATCCAACAATTTGATTGGCACTTTAGATACTACTTATTGTCAGCTGTTGGTGGTTTGTTTGTTTGTTTTAACTATGTGGTTATATTTTTAAAAATAAATGGATTTTTTTTAATAGAGTAAGAATTTTTGTTATATTTTAAACATTTCAATATCATATTTTAAAGCCTCCATAAATCACATTCAGAACCTTCACTAAGGACCTACACTACTGAAGTACAAACAGACATAATATTTTGGCATTACTATGTGGAATTGCTGTTATGCATTGCACTTGTGATAATTGTTGATGGCTAGGGTGATAGAGTTTATTTACGTGACATCCTTTGATGGAGTCTAACTCACAAAGCTCTGCAGACATTCATCAAAAGTGACCAAACTCCTTTTAACAGTTGTAAAACAGTGGGGTTTTTTGGTCAAATCAGTTTCTATTGTTTTGCGAAGATTTCTCTTGGAACAAGGATTTTATCTTTGGGTGTGAGCTTCACAGCTTTACAAAAGGTAATAGTTTAAAGAATGAAAAGAAATGAAATTAACTTAATTCATTTGAAGGTATTGTCAGTAGTCAGTTTTGGCTGTCAAATTTGCATGCCTGATGACAGAAGTTTCATCTGTTCATATACCATCTTCTTAAAAAAACACTGGTTATTCAGAATTACAATTCACTGTTTGTAATGGTCAAACCTGCAAGTTCAGTTACATGTCATACCAGTTTCTGAAATACGATTTTAGGATTGCTTCTGTTGAAGTTTTGTAATGTAATGTCTGCACGTAGCTTTACAAAACTCCCTGACTGCATGGTGGTTTTATGCATTCTTTCTTTACATGCAGAATAACAAATTAATACAATTTGTGAACACATTTGAAAATTTGTCAGAAACTATGTTCTGTACAAGTGCAAATTTGTAAATCATTTTAAGAGAAGACATTTAGCAGTAAAAGAAATAGCCCCCCCTAAACAATAAAACAGGCTGAATGATACAAATTTGTGTTTAATTATATAGCTGCATTATTCATTCCTATCTTTGGGGTGAAAGATGTGGGTGGTCAGTTAAGTGTGCCGTTGTTTTATAAATAGGCTTATAGGTACTGTAGTTTCTGAACCGCAGGGTCTGTCCAAAGGTACAATATTTTGTTCTCTGAAGAGCCCTTTATCTGTGCTGTAATTAAAGAAGTGGGTGTTTGTTCTGTTTTTTTGTCCCTTCTTCTGGCTGGGAATTTCGTACTTAAACAATGTAGTTACTACGTCTGTACTGAAAAATCACAAGGACATTAATGATTGTTTACACTTAAGTATTGAATTGCCTAATCTTAAACCTTAAATCAAAAAGGAAGTAATAAATGGCATAGTGTGTGAATGACCATCTTGTCTTGCATGAGGTATTCAAACACTTGTATGGATTCTGACTGTGCATTTTTTTTCAGGGAATGGTAAACTGTACATGTTCGGAAGTAACAACTGGGGCCAATTAGGACTAGGATCAAAGAACACTGTCAGCAAACCAACATGTGTTAAAGGTTTGTTTAATTTTTCTTTTTTTTTTTTTGTCTTTTTGAAAGGAGACCCTTGTGAAAAGATACTTTATAAGATGCAGCTCCAAAATAACTGATGCTGCCTTCTCTACTCATCATGTGTAGCATATTACTAAACAAACTTGTAAAGGTAGCTTAAAAGGATCCCTGACTAATTTTCCATCAGTTCCAGATTCTGGGTCCTTTTGCATCGGAAGATTACTGTCTTTTTTGAGGGCTCTTATTTTTTGTAATCTTTGCCTTTCCTGACAAACCACATCTTCATTGTGACTGCAAAGACATTAATCACATGCTTGGTCTCTCCAGTGTTGTCTGTGTGTTAGAAATCAGAGTTCCAACAGCATTGTGTAACCTTTGTATCACTTTTGTCTTAGCACCTTTATAAATGAAAAAATCTATTGGGAACTTTCTACAAGTACTGCTATATTTTTAGCAAGAAGTGCCCAAGGGGACATAAATGTTAATATATTTGTATGAAGCAGTAAAATAAATGCCGATATTCTTTCATGTCTTGTGAAATATGTTTTCATTGCACTGTTATCTTCTTGATCTTTCCTAGCCAGTTTTCCTTTGTCAAACAAAACTAAGTCAATACTTTTTCCCTGTCCCCTGTGGATCAAGTCAGATCTATCCCATTAACACATTTCTTTTTGCCATTAAAAGTTTATCCTCATCCTTTCTGCCAGCAGATTGATCTGTTAGCTTATTGTTAAAAACAAATTATCCTGCTTGTTCAAACTCTTTTTTTCGTGATTTAGTTTATTCTACTGTCCTTTATCTGCTCCTCTCTATTTCACTTCAGAGGGAGAAAAGCAGCTGCTTTTGGGTTCACATCTTCTGTCAGCCATGTGATTGATTCTTACCTTGGCTTAAATGGATTGGGTGTCAAGTTTTTTTTTACTGTCAAATTGCAATGGAGAATAAAACACAAAGAGAAGATGACAGCAATTCAAACCAGATCTGGCAACCATTGAAAAAAGTCACAAGGGGGGTATCTTTCTTCTCTTGGCAGTAGGCAGCAGGAGGAAGTCCTGGTGCTTTTCTCACTAGCTTTCAGTCACCACTTGGCTTTGGGAATGGGGGTTGCAAGGACATGTTTCAGTTTCTGCTTGGGGCCAAATGGTTATGGTAGCATGTTTTATGAGAAAATATGTTCTGGGACTTGACTAATGAAATTGGTTATGTAAAATTGCCAGCAACGATGTAGATATAGCATGGCTCATGAAATAGCCTAAGTGGGGGGAAGGTTAGGGAGCGCAGGCTTCTGAAGAGCTGATTAAGATAATCTCTGAAGTTGGAGGCAGAGTTTTGGGATATAAAGCAGCCAGTTAAGATTGTAGGAAGAAGCCAACATTGGAAGTGTTATGGTTCCAGCCTGCTGGTAGTGGTAGGTGTCAGACAGGATAGGCAGGAACCTGAATTTGGACAATTTATGTTTGTGTCTGTGTGATAGACCAGAGGAAGTTGATGTTTAAGTAGATAGATTTATTTGGTGACTTGGTAGAAGGTAGAAGGAACTTCAATCTGAATGTTATGGAGCTGATGAAAGTTGATTTGGAAGAACTGAAAAGGGGTTTGTGAAAGGGATGATAGCTGTTGGCTTTGCCATGGACTAGTGCAGTGTAAAAGCAATTAAAGATTTATTATGTAAAAAGAGTCCTGTTTTAAGGGCATTGTATAGGGCACATAGACATGGCTGAGAGAAGATAAATTGTTGGCAACGATCAATAACTGGAGAGAGGTTGTAAAAGTCAGTGAGATTTTTTCCCTCTGTTTCTGAAATGGAGTGCATTTGCCATGGGAGAAAAGGCACCCCTGTATACGCTCCTTCCCACCAAAATAACTCTTGACTCCTCTTGCATACATTCCCAGTCTTTCACAGTGACCAGACTGCAGAGAAGTACATGCATTGGGTGGGTGGTAAGTGAGCTGAAGTTGACACGGGATGGTATATGCAAAAATTTTAGGCAGTAGTCTGGATAGGACTGTCCTTAGCAATTGAATTAGGGATCAATAAGAGGGCAGTGCAGAGCAAAAGTCTGGCAAAAAAGGTAGCTGTGCATGACAAAGGAAGACAGGGATGATAAGACAAAAGAACGGTATAATTTTAAAGATTTAAAATAGTGGGAAAAGCATAAGAGGGAGTTAAGAATTGTACTCTTAATGAAAACTGAAGACAGCTTGAAGCATGCATTTTGTCCTTGATAGAGTCTTTGAGGCATATCCCATAAATGGTAAGTTCTGGGGAATGTGTCACTGGGGTGAAGTAGCCATCATCAAGTTAACCTGAGTGTGAGCTGTAAGTTTCTAAGGTCTCTGTTTTCTTGTCTTGAGGGAATCCTGATTTAAGAAGTTGTGTTCTGAGTTCAAATGGGCAACGAATCTTGTAATCATTCTGTTGGTAAAAATATGAAAAAAATCAAAGCTTCCTCTAGAACATAGAACATTTTGTGTTGAACCAGCTATCAGCTTGTTTGTAACTTTTCACCCCCTTTGGCTTTAATTCATAGCTTTAAAACCAGAAAAAACAAAACTTGCTGTTTGTGGAAGAAACCACACTTTAGTTTACACAGGTATGTAACCTATGTTATATACATATTAAAGACAGATTTCTTCCTTTGCTTTCATGCAAAATTACATTCAGAACTCCAGGAGTGTTAAGAAGGAAAAATAAATGAAAATGGGACTGTTAAAACTTGGGGCTTTGATATCCATTTCTTTAACGCGTGATTTATTCTGAGGCAATGCATTTATAAGATAATGTTATATAGGTGTTTGCTAGCAATAGACAGATGAAAAAATTTCTTGCTGGCATTTGGGGTGTAGTTAACAATTATCAATATTTCGTTTAAGCCCTTTAAAGGTATATTAGTATTTTTTATATATCTGTACTCAAATTTACCTTTGACAAGTAATTTATCTTTATTAGTGTGAAGTTATATATTTGAGTAAATATAGTAGAACTGAATGTTTTCAAGTCTTCAAATTTTGTTGCAGTTTGTTAGACAAGGTAGTCTGCTATTTCAACGACAAGTTGCTTTATTAAGCTATAAATAAAGAAACTGTAAATTTAAACTAGAAAATAAATTTTCAGAGACAGTATACAGAGAATTGATGCAAATTCTTGTCATGCTTCTAAAATTTATGTAATGGAATAGCCGCCTTTGTGGTTGCAATTCTTTAGCTTGTAGTAATGTTATAAAGAGGATTGTGTGATTATTAGGAGGTTTATTTATGTGGAGACCCTGAGCACTGTAAATAAGACCATTAGAATAACACAGAACATTTTAATAACAGATGAGTATGCAAGATTTCACAGGTAAATATTAGTCACTTTTATTGTACACGCTGGCTAGATAATTTGTTGGCATTTATATAGCAAGGACCATTTATACATTGCATGTCAGTTGCTTATCACATTTGTGTCCGGATTTGTGTTATTAATGGACCTTACCTTTCTCATCAGAGATGAGCACTTTAGATGTGAAACATACTAAAACTGAAAGTACAAATCTTGAAGTTCTCTTAAGTTGAAGATACTAGTCATCAGCTTTAAATTCCATTTTAAGATTCTAAAAAAAATAAAGACCTAGTTAATTAAATCAAAAGTGATTTAACTATTAAAATGATTAAAATATTTCTAATAAAAATCTAAGCAAAAATGTATTTCATTCGCAGTACTCAAACCTATCAAGTTATGCATCTCTAATTTACATACTAATACGACTTCAGTTTTCTTGTCTGTGATGTCATTCACCGTTTTCCTCCTCCTTTGTCTTAAAATACACATTTTTGGGGGAAGGAGCTTCTTCGGGCTGCCAGGGCTACGAGTAGTCATTTTCTCAGAACTCTTGCAGAACTTCAAATTATATTTTGCTTTCTAGATCAGTCTCCAGAATGGTACGAAACTCGGTCAGTCTAAGTACATGTAAGGCCTTTAGAAAGTTGTGATCCAAGTGTGTGCAGGAAAGCCTCCTTGCTAGCTACAACAGAAACTGCTAATGTCAACTTGAGGAAATTTCAGGGCAGTAGACCCGAACTTTTCTGTAGTGGTCTTCCATTGAAAATTCAATTACTTGCTCCGGTTTCTCTGACTTTTTACCACTAATGAGAATATCTTCATTCTGTGTATTACATGTGCTTTTCTGTATGCAGAGAAAGGAAATGTGTATGCTGCTGGAGGTAACAGTGAAGGTCAGTTGGGATTAGGTGACACAGAGGAAAGGACCACATTTCATTTAATTAGCTTTTTTACCAACCAGCACAAGATCAAACAGCTAGCGGCTGGATCATACACCTCAGCAGCAGTAACTGGTAAGAGCAACTGCTAATAAAATCTATTTATGTGTGTCCAGCCTGGTGTTCTGGGGAAACGTTTATTCCAGCATTCTGTTTGCATATGTGGGTGTATTTTCTATGCCTCCCTGTCTTCTTTCGCTAGTAACCACAGTCATTTTTTGATGGCAAATTGTGTATTTCAACACAATCTGGTAAGTGGTGGCAGTCTCATTAACTTCCTACAGTTTTTGTGAAAATAGACCTTTTCCGTGAGCAATAGCCTGCAATGGGAGCTCAACCTCTGCTAGTTTAGTAGGAATCCTTACAAAGGAGAGACTTTTTACCCTCAAAATGGGAAAAATCTTCAGTTATTTCCAGGGAAGCCAGATATAAAACACGAATCCTATGAAAACTTAAGTTTCTCTAATTTCACATCTTACTGCAACTATTTTGGTCTACTGGTACAGGCTACACAGCTGTGTCATTACTAATTCTGAGAGAGACTTCTCTTCTGAGAGTCATTACTAATTCTTATGCCTATGACCTATTTCTCTGATGGCAGAATTATATAATTGCGACATTTTGAAGTCCACACAGTTATAATACCTTCAGCCATTGGATGGGTGGTCCTTTATTACCCTATAATGTAATTTCTCAAGTTTTGCTGTAAAGCAGCTGTTCCTGTACATGTTTAGGATAAGTTACTGAGGCTGTCATCTCAGAATGTGACAGAGAGTGTAAGAGTGTATGAAAGAGATGCTAGCCTGCTCATTTGGTTTCTATTTTTTTGTGACAATTGCTAACATTCTCCTGAGATTTCTAAGTCAACGTTGAATTATTTTACTTCCCAGCGGCATCTCAGTATCACTGTAGATGGTACAGTTTTTTATTCACAACTTATTTCCCACCAATAAGAAATATGCAGAAATAAGACCTCATGTCTTCTAGAAAAATCTAGAGATTTTTCTTGTTCACTACCTTTTTTTGGTTTTTTACTGCTGCCATTGGTCTTTGTGTTAACAGACACTGGTCTTAATAAACCTGGAACAACTATTGTGATAGTTTAAGGAAAACAAAATGAAGCTGGGCAATATAATCACCTGTGAAGAGAACTGAAAGATAAGGCAAGAATAAGTGGGATGTGTATCAAAGTCAGAACAGAGAGTAAGTTTGGAAGAATGAGAAAGTGGTGACTTGCTACTAGAAATGAGAAGATGCCTTAAAATCACCGTAATATTTTCATACTGACCTCTGGCAATTGAATTGTCTCATATGCTCAATATTCCTTTTTGAAGGAATGTTTTACATAGTACTTTTCCCATACTATTTGTGGTCTAACATCAGTCGATGGCTAGTTTTTGTTGCGTTGTGTTAAATACCATTTTATGTCCCTGAGACCATGACATTTAGTAGCATCATACGCAGAGTTTACGAAATGCTCTTAACTGGGTAGATTAACTTTTTGTTAATTTTGGTTTTAAATCCATTAACTCTCTGTGTTTTCATTTTAGAGGATGGGCAGCTTTTTGTGTGGGGTGACAATTCGGAAGGTCAGATTGGCTTGGCTGATGAAGCCTGTGTCAGTGTCCCTTGTCAAGTGGATGTTGGAAAACCTGTTTCCTCTGTATCCTGTGGATATTATCACTCTGCCTTGATAACAGGTAAGAGAAAGGGAATAGCGGTTAGTGGACACAAGTCAGTGGTTCTCAATTTGTTATCTTTGTAAAGGTAGCTAAAGAGGCATTCATTACTTTTGAAACTAGATACGCCATAGTTTTTAAAAACTGCTATGTGGCAGAAAGTCATCTATGTAGTTTTGTATCACTTTGGGAGATTTTGCCAGAGACAGGTTCTCTAAAATGTGGTCCTAATTGATTTATTTGGGAAACTTGTATGTAATCTACTATGTAATTGTATATTATTGTTGAATTAACAATACTGTGAGAAAAAACTGCAGTTAGTTTTCTGCATTTGCACATTGTTGTGCAAAAGTATATTGGGAAGAACCATTATCTTGCCACACTATTTACATGAAGGTTATGACAAGTATTATGGTTTCAGTAATCCAACTTTTCTTGAGATTATTAATTTTTTGTGATGATCAAATAGTCATCTTCATCTTCTCTAGAAATATAATTATTGAATAGGCTTACTATGTTTTGAGGAAAAATTAAATCTCAGTGCAAGATTGTTGTCGAAGTTTGATGTTATGTGTTAAATTTTAAGTTTTGAAGTCAGTTAAACAGGCAGTATATGATATGAGAAGAAGTATACGCTACAGTGAGTCGGTGTCTGATCTCCAACTCACCTCTCTGCTGCTTTCCTCCTCTCTCTTTCCACCTCTTTGTTGGTTTCCAAAGTGATGATACCACTCATTTTTTAATAATGTCAATATGGGTGAATTTACCAGTCAGTACTGATGGTATTATATATAAGCAGCCATTAATTCCCCTCACCCATACAGGTTTACTTTATTAAGCTTTACAGTTTAGTCCCCTCAGAGTAATTAAATATTTCAAAGGATCAATAGTTTTGATTGTAAAACTTTTAATGGGTACCCAGGAACTCTTCAGTCAGATACTTTTCACAGGTTACTTGATAAATGTTACTTTTCCACATACAATATCTGTATAGCTCTCTGAGAATATGCTGTTAACAGAATGAGAGCTTCCTATGGTGGTCAAATACTAATTAGGTGTTATGCTGGTAGTGTGCAACTCGTATTACAGATGCTTTATTACAGTAGATGAATGAAGTGCCTCTGACTGATCAGGAGCTCAGCACCTGTTAGGAAATCTACAGCTTCCTAAACTCGAAGTAATGGCGGGGAAAGATCCTTACTTCAAGGATGTAGTAAGAAAGCGTGTATTTCTGCCTTAGAGCCAAGAGCTGAAGCTCTGACAGGACTGCAGTGGGATTTGACAAAAGCTCTCGTTGGAAGAAGGGCTGAGAACAAGCATCTAAGAGCAAGGAGAGAACAGTATGTGCCAGGTGCTCTAAGGAAGTGGAAATTTTTAATGGAGGGGGATGAGAACAAATGATTAGGGTAGCAGCTGGGTAAGAGAAATGGAGCCCCTTAAAATATTAATAAGAAGATGAACTGTTATCGCCTGTGAAAATGGGGAGTTGTTGAACCTGTTTATGTTTAAACAAGCCTGGGTGTGAGATGGAAAATCTTAATTTTCAGCCTTAGTATCTGCAAATCCTGCACAAATTTGGCTTCAATCTCTCTTGCTGAAACTACTGACACGTGGATGACCTCTTTTGTGGTGAAAGGAGAAATATTTTTTTACTATTTTCATTTGGGCTCTTGCTGACAGTTTTATTTGACTGATACTTTAACTACCATAGAAATTTAGTGTTGGACATCAGGTACTTTTACTGAATTGATCTTCTGTTGCAGCACCGTCAGTGTATATCCAGACAGTGTTTAAAAACAAATTGTACCATAGTCACACATTATTTTAGCTATGAAGTTAGCCATTAAAGTATTAATTTGGACGTTCTGCAAGCTGAGTCTGTTTGAGTACAAATGTAGTACAAATAGTTACCTTATTTTTCTTACAGCCTGGTTAGGAAGAATGTCAAGGCACTAGTATTACTCGGATTCTTTTTTCACTTATGGAAAACACTTGCCTGTAGGACTTGCTAGACAGGCTCAGAACAGTGGTTCACATCCTCAGTGATGGAGGGGTGGTAGAACATAGCAAACTAGATAATTATGGAGTATTTGGAATATTCGTATTACAGAGATAGGGTTTTTTTCCCCCACATTGCTAGTTAGTCATTGAATTATGCCTTGAAGTACGTTTAAGAGTTTGCCTATCACAGGGGGTTTTCCATGTATTTTTATTGTATGGTTTTATCTTGTATACTAGAGTTTAGGGTGATTAGTGTTATTTTTAATACATAATTTGGAGGAAATATCTGGAAAAGAAAGTAGTTCTGTATTTCCAGAAATAAAATTTGAACTGAATAGGTAAGTGTATAATTTGTATTAATTCTCTCAACATCAATAAAGTATACCAGAGAAACTTTTTTAGATTGTGGTTGCTGTTACTATGGAAGAAATGGGTGTAACACATAAGCTTTCAACACCCGTAACTTACCAGTTATTAGAATACTATAGATTTACTACATTTTGACTTTTTAAACATGACTTGTACATAAAAAAGCACCAAATAATATACTGTCTTTAATAATAAAACATAGTTGCAGGATGTTGGACTTGATACATGTTGCCGCGCTGAACTGATGAGCATGGCACCATATGGTTCCCTTTCTTAATATATTTCTGTTTGGCATAAGCTGTATACTGGCTAAGCAAACCGTTAGGATCACAGGCGTATCTCGATTAAAACTAAAAGGTGGTTAATGAGGCTACTAGAATACATAGTGTGGTCACACAGTGCCCTCTCCAGGGCAGGATGTTCATTAATAAGAGACTATTGAGAAAAAAAGTGGTGAAGTATGGATTCCAGTTGTTTGGGTTTTTTAAGCTAAAGTTGTTATTTCTTTGAAACAAATGGTTTTATAAAAGATTGCTTAGTAGGCCTTTGTCTTTAAGGTGTTTAACTACTATAAAGCCAAGTGCAATGTCAATGAAAAGTAGAGTGGAATCCTGATGCAAACCTTTAGTAGATAAAAACATGTTTTATGGTAATTGTACGGCATTCAATCATCTGAATTTGTACTTCAGTTCTACAGCCCTCCTCCCACCCCCAAAGTTTCTTGAATCTATTAGTTCCAAAAAGATGATTTGTCATCTTTCTTACTTTTGCTTTCTAGAATGCCTTCTTTGCAGCTGATAATTCAGCTACTAAACGTCACTTGTATTCTACCATGTACATGTGGGCCCCACTGACAACAGAAGTAGTTGTAGAATAGAAGACTAGAATGTGTCCTGAATTATTTTTAATAAAAAACACTTCTGAAATTTAGACCAGTCACAAGCACAGGCAATGGCTAGCTCATTTCCATATGCAAATTAGGAAGCTGGTCTAGTTACTCACTTCATGTTTGAAAGATGATTGTTTGCTCCTTTTTCCTCTCACTTTGCATTCCTCAAAGAGTCCCACTGAAAAGAAGTTTTTAGTTTATACTTTCCAGTCTTCTTTAGGACTTTTTCTCAGTATCTGTTTCCTTTCCGTTCTTTTTGCAGCCTTGGGACATTAGGTCCCCCTATTAGAGGTATGTCTCAAACAAAACAACAGAGAAGGAAAAAGCTGAAAGAGT